TCAGCCAGATATGGTAGCACACACCTATAAATCCTGCACCCAGGAGGCTTAGGCAGGAAGGATCACAAGTTTGAGGCTAGCCTGGATCTATAACAAAATTTGCCTCCAACAAAAAGAAAGGGAAAAAAGTTATGGATTAATCTTTACAGCTGTATTTGAGATAGATAGGTAGCAAAACATGTTTCCATTTTGTAAAGAAATATTGATGCCATAATTCAGATACATTGCATGAAATCGTTCTTAAAAGTTCACTGAACTCACTAAAATTTGAACTCAGCGGTTCAGAAATATGTTTTTGGTTCAGCCTGTATCATCATAATTTATCTTTTTTCCTTGGACAGATCTCAAGATGAATTTGTTGTATCTGATGAAAACCTAGATGAAAGTGAAGAAGATCCACCATCTAATGATGATAGTGATACTGATTTCTGTAGCCGCAGACTAAGGCGACACCCCTCCCGGCCAATGAGGCAAAGTAGACGTTTGCGCAGAAAGACTCCAAAGAAAAAATACTCTGATGACGATGAAGAGGAGGAATCTGAGGAAAACAGTAGAGACTCTGGTAAAAATAACTTGTATCCATTTTATACCAAGTCAGTAAATTTGTATGACTTCTAGAATTCATAAATTCTATCAATTGTAATAAGCCTTCTGATAAAATTTTGCATCCTTATGACACATTATTAACTATCTTTTTTTCATAGAGTACATTAAGAAAAATACTTGTTGATATATTAATTTTATACCAAATTCATTTAGGATATTGGTAAATCCCTTTGGTAGTATTCTCATGCCTAACCTTTAGCTTCATAATTGAATAGGGAGAAACACAATCGCTGAATTAAAAGACAGGCGTGCCTTATTTAAGTGTCAGATAAGTAGTCGTCATCTTACTGAAGAAGTGCTGTAAATATGAGTTCTGTATCTCTAACTCTGGCCATACTCTGTGGGTTTTGTTCCTTCTTTTGTGTATCTTTTTCTAAACTGTTTGAGTAAATGATGAAATAATGGTTCTTTATCAGTGATTCTTTCAAAAAATTAGAAAATTTGGGCTGGGGATTTAGCTCAGTGGTTCTGCTGCCTGCCTCACAAGCGCAAAGGCCTAAGTTTGAACCCTGGTGTCAAAAAAAAGGAAAATAAAATTTTCTTATATAAGCCACAGTACAGTTGCCTAAATCAGAAATTTTAACATTACTCATTCAGATTTCATCAAATATCCCTACATTGTCTTTTATTTATATCTATTGTTTTCTAATCCAGAATCTAACCTAGAATTACACAGTCCATTTATTCATGTCTGTTTAGTCTCCTTTAATCTGGAATATTCCTCAAATTTTGTTTTTCTAATCTTGACTTTTTATCGAAGTGTACTGGGGTGAACCCAGGGCTTCCCACATGTAAGGCAAGTGTCCTGCCACTCAGCTACATTCTTTACCCCCTTTTATTGTATTTTTAAATTTTAAGCCACATGCCCAGGCATCCCATATTCTGAACATTTCAGAAAGTACCTGATATCTTTAGTTATGCTCCTGTGGCTAATTCATTGTCCTGAGTTGATTCAAAATGTTTACTTTTCATGTCATTTTGACTTTAGGGAAGAACCAAAAGTTGCACTATGCCAGATCCAGTGAATAAGGTAATTGAGGACACTCCAGAATGTCTTCATGAGCCTGCTTTGCCTTTGGATTGTGTATGGCAACAGCATGTTCTATAACTTAAAGATACTCACAAAAGTTATTTGATTCCCAGTACCAAAAAAAAAAAAAAAAGAAGCAAACCTCCAGAACTTCTTCAGAATGTGGCATGAATGATGGGGGCTGTGTTTGAAGAGGGATGAATGTGCTTTTATTGTAAAAATTTTAAAATTTAAATAGTCACTCTATATTTTGTTTACACCTCAAATTTAGCAAATTTGTCAAGCTTTTTATATGTATTACTGTTCTGTAAGGAAGAATTTTCTTGCTCTTATATTAGTATATACTTGGGATTCATTTTTTTTCAGTGGATAACACAATATTACCATCCATTTTGGATTTGGTTTATCCAAGATTTTACCAGTAAAACCACTTTAAACTGTTTGCTAACTCTTTTGAAGTGTTTGCAATTCATTAGAGGGTAAGAAGGTAGAATATAATAATACTGCATAATTTGTAAACACTTGTGGAAAACAGCTCTTAGATAAAGCCAGAGTCTTATTCTGTTTTATTGATCAGCAATGACAACATGCTATTTACCGATGCTCTGAGAGGTAAGCAGCACTGTGTGCTTTACTTAGAAGATTTTCATTCCACACGGAAAAGAGTAAATAATGTAACTCTAATTTTGAACTTCTTTGGAATATGTAGGCTTAGGAGTTTTCTCTGGGTAGAGGGTTATATTATTAGGAGAGTAGCCCAAGTAGGATCAGCTGATTGTCTGGACGAAGATTCTGGTGACTCTTTACCAATAAGAGTTGTTAGGTATGAACCTGCCCTAGTAACTCTAGGGTAAAAAAATTTTTTTTAATGTATTAAAACTTTTCTTTGTGTTACTAGGGATCAAGCCAAGAGGAATTGCTAGTGAAGGGTTATATCACTGAGCTACACATTAAAACATTTTATTTTGGAGATTAACTGGTAATAGTATATATTTGTGAGGTGTTTGGCATTAAAGGCCCCCACAGATTCACTTAAAAAGAAACTAAGATTTTTTAAAGTTTTTGTTCAGTTAGGTATAGTGGTGCCCACTTGTAATCCCGGCTACTTGAAAGCAGGGCCAGGAGAATCACAGGCACTCACAGTCCAGGCAATTTAGTGAGACCTTACCTCAAAATAAATAAGAATTGAGGATGCAGCTCAGTTTAAGAGGGCTGTGTTTAATCCTCAGTATGATCAGAATAATTATTTTTAAAAAGCTATTTATTACTCATTTAAAAATTTTTCGCAAACATGCTTAGGTCTACATTTTTTTCCATTGAGTTTATTGGTAATTTTTAGGTATACAGTGCAGTACAGTACATCTTGTACCTTTACATGACAGGTCTTGGTTCTCATTTCTTCTCCTTACCCCTGCCCTCCCTCACCCCCTAGCTTTACATTTCTTATAGCCTATGCTACTTTTAATTCTACTTAATGGACTTAAATTTTGTACTTCTTTTTTCTTTTCCTTATTTTTTTTTTTTAATAGAAAGTGACTGTAGCGATGATTTTAGTGATGATTTTGTAGAAACTCGGCGAAGGAGATCAAGGAGGAACCAGAAAAGACAAATTAACTATAAAGAAGATTCAGAAAGTGATGGCTCCCAGAAGAGTTTACGACGTGGCAAAGAAATAAGGCGAGTTCACAAGCGTAGACTTTCCAGTTCAGAGAGTGAAGGTAAGCAATAGACTTCCTACTTACAGAAATATAAACAAGGCAAAAATAGACTTCATAATAATCAGAGTAGTAATTATGTACTTTAAAAAAAAGTCATACATAAAATCAGAGTATTGTTGAGTAAATCTCATTTTGTTCCCGGTCACTAATAATAGTTTAAATAGATATCACATGGTAAGATTTTGATTTTGTAAGAACTTCATTCTAACCATTAATTTTTTAAATTATTATTTTTTAATTTTTTGAGACACAGTCTTCCTATGTAGTTCATGCTGGCTTTGAACTCACAGGTAGACCAGGCGACCTCAAATTTATGGTGCTCCTCTTGCCTCCGCCTCCTAAGTACTGGGATTACAGGCATGTTCCACCATACCCAACTACCCGACTTTATAAAATTTCCATTGAAACTGAAAGTCTTAGCAAATTATAATCTGCTTTGTGGTTTATTCTGTTCCCCCCTTTTTTCCCTTCTTATTCATGTCCCTCACTTTGAAATAACCTACCTTCCCCATAGCTGAACAGTTTCAAACCAAAGTGTCTACCATCTCTCTCTCTCCACCTTGCCCGTCAGTAACTGCTTTATGTAATAGTCTGGTCTTTGCCACATACCAGAAGAATAGGGGAAGCTGTAAAATACTAACTTGTGATATCCATTTAGTCTTTGTAGTTACTACAGAGCATCTCCCAAGTTTGATTTTTAAATGTTTTTCAAATTTTAATTTTTGTTTTGTATATGTTTGCAATACATACTTATTATGTTCATCATGGGGTGTTGGATCCCAACCCTTGCCTTTCCACCTTTGTTTTTTATGCAATCCATCATTATATATGATCTATTTAAACATCATTTGTTTTCATGAAATAAGAGTTTGAGTGCAAATGCAAGCCAGGAAAGAAAAGGAGCTACATATTTGGGTGTGGGAGGATATAAAAGGAAGGTGAATGTCTTTTTGACCATTTCCTTATGTTCATGTGTCATAAAGACCATTAATTTGACCATTAAATATGGTATTTATTGAAATAGGCCCTCTTTTTAGCACTGGGAATTTAACAGAGAACAAAATTAAGGTTCATGTAACTTAATTTTCAGTAGGGGGAAAGGAGACAGTAAACAAGAGTAATATGGCCTGGGCATAGTCATGTACACATATAATCCTAGCACTTGGAAGGCTGAGGCAGGAGGATTAAAAGTTTGAGCCCCACTGGGCCAAGTTAGTAACTTAGTGAGAAATACTCTTGCGAAATTTTTAAAAAGGGCTAAAGATGAGGTTTAGTTGAACACCTTCATTCACTCCCTAATATTGGGGAAAAACAAAGTGATACTAACAGATAGAACAAATGTAGAAGCCTTGAGTCACTTTTGTGCCTGGTGTCTTTAGGGAACAGAAGAGTATCCAGTGTTGTTAGAGCTAAATAAGGGTAAGAAGAATGAGATGAAGAATAGAGATCATTTGGTGACGGATGGTAGAGAACAAATCAGCAAGCTACCCTCTTGTTTGCATAAACTTTTTGCAAATCAAGTTTTTTTGATAGATGGCCATGACCATCTTTTTTTTTTTTTTTTTTTTTTATGGTACCAGGGATCAAATTTAGAACCTTGTGCTGGCACCACTGAGCTAAATCCTTGGCCCAGCCATGACCATCTTAAGTTGAGAAATTCTGTCAGAGATGATAGAGCCTGCTTTTTACAGGAAAAACAAAAACAACAGCAACAACAAAAACACGGAACTTTTGATGATAAATTTCTGCAGTGATTGGAATATTTTATATCTGTGCTGATGAATACCATAAGCATTAACCTCATATGCCTATTGATCACTTGAAGTATCGCTGGTGTGACTATGGACCTGAATTTTTGTTTAATTTAAATTTAAAATAACTGCATGACTAATATCTACCATATTTGATAACACAGAGTAGAACACTGCATAGATTGGATTTTATTCAGTTAGAGGATTATGATCAAAGGAGTGACATGATCTGTGTTAGGTTTTAATTTGTTGTGAAACTTGTGTTATGAATCAATTGATGGGGACAAGGGCTGAAGCTTGGAGACCAGTTAGGAGGTTACTGAAATAGTCCAGGTGAGAGATGATGGTGAGCAGGACTTAGACAATAACAGTAAAGGGGTGAAAAGTTGGCAAATTACAGATATTTTAAAGGCAATCCAAAGGATTTACTTATGGGTTAGTAAAAAGAGAAAGGAATCATAATTCAAATGAGTACTTGTAAGAATAAATATCCCAAAACTAAGATGCTGGAAATCACATTGCTTCAGGGGGCATTTTGGAGTTCAGTTTTATTTACATTAGATTTGAGTAGCCTGTTATGCTATTCAAACATAGTTGTTGAGAAAAGAGTTTTATATGGAGTCTAGAATTTAGTGATTACCTAAAAAAGAGAGTCACCAGTAATAAATGTATATGCAAAGCCAATAGACTAGGTGAAGTCATGTGTGATACAAGTATAGACAAAGTAGAGAAGATACTCACAAACTACCATGGGCATTTAATAACATGTGAGTTGCACAGTGTTTTAGATGTACAGAGTTGTGTACCCAGTGTAAAACTCTCCTTTTAAGTATATTTATGTGATTCCTTGATTGTAGGCCTAGTGGGAAAGAGTTTCCTAGTTTTTGTGATCCACCTTATCTTAATTTTAAAGATTGTCAGATTTCTTTCCCAGGAAATCTGCTGTTTCCTAAAACCACAAGTAAAGTACACTATGAATCATAATGGGTGGTATTATGTTACTGAGAGAAATCAGTCCAGTTATTGAAGGGAAATATTCATGAGGTACATGGGGTAAAAGCAGGACATGAGGTGAAAAGGGGCAGAAAAAGTGTATGGTTAATTCTGCCAGTGGCTTAAATGTGCTGTTTTTTCTAGAGAGCTATGCATCCAAGAACTCTGAAGATGATGAGCTATCTAAAGAATCAAAGCGGTCAGTTCGAAAGCGAGGCCGAAGCACAGATGACTATTCAGAAGCAGATGAGGAGGATGAAGAGGAAGGCAAACCATCCCGAAAACGGCTACATCGGATTGAGACAGACGAGGAGAGCTGTGACAATACTCATGGAGATGCAGATCAGCATGCCCATGACAGCCAGCCCAGGGTCTTGCCCTCAGAGCAAGACAGCACCAAGAAGCCCTACCGAATAGAAAGTGATGAGGAAGAGGACTTTGAAAATGTTGGCAAAGTAGGGAGCCCTTTGGACTATAGCTTAGTGGATTTACCTTCTACTAATGGACAGAGTCCTGGCAAAGCCATTGAGAACTTGATTGGCAAGCCACCTGAGAAACCTCAGACCCCCAAGGACAACAGCACAGCCAGTGCTAGCTTGGCCTCCAATGGAACAAGTGGGGGACAGGAGGCAGGGGCACCAGAAGAGGAAGAAGATGAGCTTTTGAGAGTAACTGACCTTGTTGATTATGTCTGTAACAGTGAACAGTTATAAGACTTTTTTTTTTTTCATTTTTGTGCTAATTTATTCCACGGTAGCTCTCACACCAGCGGGCCAGTTATTAAAAGCTGTTTAATTTTTCCTAGAAAACTCCACTACAGAATGACTTTTTAGAAGAAAAATTTCAAGTCCTTAAGTCTTTCTGTGAAGTGACCAGTTTTGAACAGTTTTGAATAATTGCTGTAAATTCCTTTTGATTTTCATTTTCCAAGTTCATGGTCCTTGATAATTTCATTCATGGAAAAAAAATCTTATTATAATAACAACAAAGATTTGTATATTTTTGACTTTATATTTCCTGAGCTCTCCTGACTTTGTGAAAAGGGTGGATAAGAATGCATTCCAAATCTGTGAGGGCCAAAAATAGAATTTAGGGGTGGGAGAAAGCACTTGTGCTCTAGCTTTTCATATTAAATATATATTATATTTAAACAGTCATGGCATAGATAATGATTAACAGACCATCTAAAAGCTCAAGTCTGAACTGTTGCCTCCTTGAGAATTGTAGATAACATCATACATAAGTCATTTAGTAATATCCTTCGTGAAATCAACTTGTTTACTATTGGAGTTACCACATTTTAAATAAAGAAGAGACCGTGAACATACCATCGTTTAAAAAAAAAAAAATCAACCTAAGTTTCTGTTAAAGTGGAGTTTCTTGTTAACAAAATCATCTGAAAAGCATTTGAACAGTAAAATCAATGATGAAGCTTTGACAACCAGATTGTGCTAGCAACAAAGTTTTTAAAAATAGCTTTATGGACTGGTAAAAGGTGGCCTTTATATACTGTGTCTGATGGGGAATTAGTGAAATAAATGTGGTCTTTCTTAAGACCTAGATGGACTATAAATATTGCCAATAATATAACTCTTGTCTTTTGGCCACTTGTGTTTAAATATCTGAAGTTCATTTTGAAGAAATACATCTATATATAACATACATGAAGAGATGCTAAGCTGACAATGGTATTTTAGCACATTTGAAGACTGGGAAGAGATTTTCAGGTGAATTTTAACTGGTCTATTCTTGCCCGTAGTATCTACTTCAAATTGAAGTCTACAAACAAGCAGTTCCTTTGGGAGGTTTTTAGTTTGAGTTTTAGCGTGTGTGTGTGTGTGTGTGTGTGTGTGTGTGTGTGTGTGTGTGCGCGCGCGCGTGCGCGCACATGCGTGCCGGCGTGTGTGTGCATGCACGCTCGTGTTGTTTTTGAGTGTGAGTGTGTGTGGGTATGTGTGGGTGTGTTTTGGAATTTCCTATCTGCCTGAATATATTAGCAGGGTCTGAATGTAGTTTTGGCCTTAGGTCATTAGTCTTCTATTAAAATTCATTAATAATCACACAACCAGATAGAGTTGAAGGAGAACCACCACTATATTTAATAAGCACGACATCCATTTTAAACATCTCAACACTTTAAAGGAAGGTAAGCCCTTTCTTTCAAGAAAAGGTGGTTTGTAACTAAATATCTAACATGATTGACACTAAAATATGAACTTTATCTTTAGTTTCTGTTACAGCTGTAAAATTTCAGGCAGAGCCATAACACTGTACAGAGTATAGCACTTGTGATTAATCCTTGCTTGTCACATTCTGAAACCTTCACCCATGACTTCTGTGAGTACTGTTGCCCTGGGATTTAGGTTTTTCTGTCCCAGTGTTGTGTCTGTTGCCGGCAATGGACACACTATCTGCTGCTGGCCCAAGGAATTTCATTTTTCTTTCCAAATGAAGCATTGTATGTGCTAGTCAGTGTATAGTAAAGCACTTCTCTTATTTTACAAAGCTGGCATTAGACTTGCATATACCTCTGTAGAGTCTTTATCTTCCTACTTTTCCTTCCTCAACAAGTGTTACCCTTAAATCTTATCTGTTGACCTTGAAAGTTTATAGCTGTTGTTTTTCAGGGTTTTTTTTGTTTCACTTTAGTTCTGTAGCACCTGCCCATTAACATTTTTGCTTTGATTCTAGCTATGTATATGTATCTGTATAAAAAATAAAATGATGAAAGCAGCCTAAAAATAGGATGCAACAATAACATGTGGTTCCAAGTAACTTGTGATTTTTATTTTGAGATAATGTTCCACTGGAAGGGAGGGAAGGGCTTGCATTTAAAGGCAGTGAAGCAGGGCTAAAATGGAGCCACATTTACTTACTAATCCCACTTTCTAGCTTGTTTTGTTTTATTTATTTGAAAAGTCAGCTAAGGATTTTAAACCTTAAAACAGCATAAGGATTCCTACTATGTAGTGTAAGGTAAGTGGTTCAAATGTACAAGTGGCCTTGCCTGCCCCACAGTCTCCCTCTACTGTTTTAGTCCTGCATCCAGTTAAAGCCACTATGATGTAGAGACTCTGTGCCCTATCTCTACCTCTGGACACATCAGCTCCTGCTTCTGCCTATACTTGGTTAAGCAGGTAATCACTAGTATTAAATGGGTAGGTAGTTTAACAGGATGCTTAACCTGACATGGTATTCTTTTAATCCTTCTGCTCTAGAAAGTTCCAAGTAATTTTTATAGTCAAGACTGAGTATTCCATTTTGCAAATGTCCAGTGATGGGTTATGAAACCACTTGTGCTGCCTGGTAGTTCCCAAACCTAAGTGTTTACCAACTATGGTTTATCTACCAAGAATACAATTCAGGAAGCTAATAAACACACTATGCAGATAGATACAGTTCTGCTTTTTTTTTTTTTTTTTTTTTTTTTTTTTGTGG